TGATATGTGACTTAGAAGTGATAACAACACCGGCACTGTGAAGTGATAACGACTCTGATGTTATGTGACTGTGAAGTGATAACGACTCCGGGACTGTGAAGTGATAACGACTCCGGGACTGTGAAGTGATAACGACTCTGATGATATGTGACTTAGAAGTGATAACAACACCGGACTGTGAAGTGATAACGACTCTGATGTTATGTGACTGTGAAGTGATAACGTGACTGTAAGTGATAACGACGGGACTGTGAAGTGATAACGACTCTGATGTTATGTGACTGTGAAGTGATAACGACTCCGGGACTGTGAAGTGATAACGACTCTGATGTTATGTGACTGTGAAGTGATAACGACTCCGGGACTGTGAAGTGATAACGACTCCTGATGTTATGTGACTGTGAAGTGATAACGACTCCTGATGGACTGTGAAGTGATAACGACTCTGATGTTATGTGACTGTGAAGTGATGACTCCGGGACTGTGAAGTGATATGGGACTGTGAAGTGATAACGACTCCGGGACTGTGAAGTGATAACGACTCTGATATTACGTGACTGTGAAGTGATAACGACTCCGGGACTGTGAAGTGATAACGACTCTGATGTTATGTGACTGTGAAGTGATAACGACTGTGAAGTGGACTGTGAAGTGATAACGACTCTGATGTTATGTGACTGTGAAGTGATAACGACTCCGGGACTGTGAAGTGATAACGACTCTGATGTTATGTGACTGAAGTGATATGTGATAACTGTGAAGTGATAACAACACCGGGACTGTGAAGTGATAACGACTCTGACTGTGAAGTGATAACGACTCCGGGACTGTGAAGTGATAACGACTCCGGGACTGTGAAGTGATAACGACTCTGATGTTATGTGACTGTGAAGTGATAACGACTCCGGGACTGTGAAGTGATAACGACTCTGATGTTATGTGACTGTGAAGTGATAACGACTCCGGGACTGTGAAGTGATAACGACTCTGATGACGGTCAAGAGATAACGACTCCGGGACTGTGAAGTGATAACGACTCTGATGTTATGTGACTGTGAAGTGATAACGAACTGTGATAACGACTCCGGGACTGTGAAGTGATAACGACTCCGGGACTGTGAAGTGATAACGGCTCTGATGTTATGTGACTGTGAAGTGATAACGACTCCGGGACTGTGAAGTGATAACGGCTCTGATGATATGTGACTTAGAAGTGATAACAACACCGGCACTGTGAAGTGATAACGACTCTGATGTTATGTGACTGTGAAGTGATAACGACTCCGGGACTGTGAAGTGATAACGACTCCGGGACTGTGAAGTGATAACGGCTCTGATGATATGTGACTTAGAAGTGATAACAACACCGGCACTGTGAAGTGATAACGACTCTGATGTTATGTGACTGTGAAGTGATAACGACTCCGGGACTGTGAAGTGATAACGACTCCGGGACTGTGAAGTGATAACGACTCTGATGTTATGTGACTGTGAAGTGATAACGACTCCGGGACTGTGAAGTGATAACGACTCCGGGACTGTGAAGTGATAACGACTCCGGGACTGTGAAGTGATAACGACTCTGATGTTATGTGACTGTGAAGTGATAACGACTCCGGGACTGTGAAGTGGTAACGACTCCGGGACTGTGAAGTGATAACGACTCCGGGACTGTGAAGTGATAACGACTCTGATGTTATGTGACTGTGAAGTGATAACGACTCCGGGACTGTTTAAGTGATAACGACTCCGGGACTGTGAAGTGATAACGACTCCGGGACTGTGAAGTGATAACGGCTCTGATGATATGTGACTTAGAAGTGATAACAACACCGGCACTGTGAAGTGATAACGACTCTGATGTTATGTGACTGTGAAGTGATAACGACTCCGGGACTGTGAAGTGATAACGACTCCGGGACTGTTAACGATAACGTCCGGGATATGTTAGAAGTGATAACGACTCCGGGACTGTGAAGTGATAACGACTCTGATGTTATGTGACTGTGAAGTGATAACGACTCCGGGACTGTGAAGTGATAACGACTCCGGGACTGTGACGGGACTGTGAAGTGATAACGACTCTGATGTTATGTGACTGTGAAGTGATAACAACACCGGGACTGTGAAGTGAAAAGAACGGGTTGGCAATAAAAAAGATATTAGGTAGTATTTATTTATACAGACAACGTAAACTTTTCGCGATTTGCATTGAATGAGGGACAATTACTTACAGTAAAATGGTGGCAAATTAAAGGTTTTAAACAAAGATCATCACGAAATTACTGCATATCACATGACCGATATTAATTTAACGTTACTCTGATCACTAATATCTTAGTTACGTATCTTATCAACAATGGAAACAAATTATAAGGGTCATTGTTTGTATCAATAGAAACTGCTCTTGTAATAAAATGAACCGTTCTGACACTCTGTGTATCGATTTAAGTCTATCGCTGCATCTATTGTATCGATCTGTGTCACCATAATAGCGGTCTTATCATACGTCTATCTCTTCACAACTCCACGTTTGGTTATCTACGGGTCGCCAGAATTTATTACAATGGTTTAAATGTCCGATTTTGTTTATCTACAGCAAAGCCTATACAGAGGAATAAAAACCACCAAATGTTACTCGTCATATACATAATCATACATGTATAGTACAGTAATCATTGTCTGTTTAACCTACAGTAAATGTTCATGATAAATACGGCAATTGAAATCACCCGAAGTCAGTAATACATTACCGACGTTAGAAACCGGTATTATTTAATTATTCAGCAATATCGGAGGGACATAAATGTAACACTGCACGACTAGTTCATAATCCCGCTTATCTCCCTTTTCTTTTGCATCTGACTTCAGAAACAAGAACCAAAAGCTAATCTCCTTGTCCTATTTCAACACATGGGAAGTTTTATCTGTTTTTTCTCTCTCTCTTGTGAGGTGTCCAAGTTTTTTCGTGCTTTACTTCACAAGAATCGGCTAAACTTGGAATCTTAAAGTAGTCTCTCTTTCCCAAAGATATTTTATCTTAGTGTATGTCTGCCTCACAGCCTCACCGTTGACCTTGGAGCGTTTGCCTCCATGAGGAAGGCTGTGGGTTCTGTTCCGTGGTCGAGACATACCACAGTTGTAATGACTGGTTTACTTGTAATCTGTCTAATGTGACCGGGTGAGGTGTATGTGCCGTCTTCAGTACACTTAAGTGTGCTGTATAGTCGACTTAACTTCCGTATCATCACAATGAGGCTCACTCATCTCCCATACACCAGGAGGCCGACCTTAAGCGACCTTAGCTAGTATTAAGCAATGTAAACCAAATCATACCTGCCTTCTCTCCATACATTGTCTCTATATATAATCCATTCTTTTCTCTGTATTTTCTTTTCGTTCTTTTCGTTCTTTTCTGTGCTATCGATTCGGGCACTTGGGGTACCAATGCTTAATTAGCTGTTGTCTCTGAAATCTTCGTACCCTCAGAGAGTTTCACGATAAGATTGTCCAAGGGGTACACAAATGAATATCACCTTTTAACAAAACTTTAGAGTTAGATGCAGTATAACCACATAAATTCGACTGCGGCTGTTTCGGCCTTTATTTTACTAACAAGAGGACCATATGGAAGATTAGCCGTTGGCTAAATAGGTAATCCTCAGAAAATAAAGTTGTTTATTATTATTGTTATTGTCAGTATTGTTCTATGTCTCTTCAGTAATACTATGGGCCTTGTGAATCCGCGGAGGCAACACAGGAAAAAACAATTAAACAAAAAAAATAAAGATCTGGATGGATGCACTAGCCTCACCATTCAATACATTTCGTAAGTTTCACGTATTTGATCATTTAATAGCAACCCGAAATACGTGTATTTATCTGATTAATAACAGCCAACGCGATTCATGGATACATACCGTTTATATTGAACTATACATAGAAGGAGGGCTTTATAAGGGACGAGGTTGGCTTCAAGACGCTCTAGCATTATTGTCCCGTATGACACATTGGCCTAACGACACCATTATACCTACCTATGTAGGTACGAAGTACATCTTATATATCTACATTCACTCAGGTATGTATTACTCCCTGTGTCCAGAGGCACCCTACAAACCATATAGACGTTAGGGGAACACATTGGATATTATTTCATACGGTTGTATGTATATTACATGTACACTGGGTGTGTGTGAATTTATTCAACGGGTGACTAAAAAAGGAATTAAGTTTTTAACCTTACTCGGCTACCGGAAGAGTTCCGAATGAATCATAGTTCGATGGTGTTTAAACCCGCTCGAGGATTTTAAAACCCAGGGCATTATGAACAGGTATAGTATATGAATGTATTTGGTACTCTATGGCGATCCAGGTGTAGCAATAAAATATTGTAATATACATGTTTCAACAGAAGTCATCTACCGTCATCGTAGTGACGTATACTACAGTATGAGGTCTTCCTCCAGATTTCCTACAGCGATCCACCTGGGAATCCTAACACTTCTGTTTGTATCTTGATGAAATTACACCATACAGCGAGAAATTTGAGTTAGTATCAAACATAACTTACTGAAAATCATGCACGTATGTTATTGAAATATATGTATGTTTTATATATATGTATAAAAGGGTGTCTTTGTCACGCAAGGGTTAAATGGCTGAATACAGAGATCGGCAATCGTTATCTGGGAGTTAGAAAAATAACAAACCAAAGAAATGTATACAAAACCACTTGTTAAGATTATTGACATATCTAGATCTAACTGATTTTCACCTGTACAGGTGTGACAGAAGCGTGTACCATGCACAGCAACAGCTGTAGTGTTGATATTTATACAGGTAACCAGGATATTGATCGCAGCCGGAGTGGAAGCCGAGGGAACCTACTCACACGGAAGAGAGTGACCGGGAGTTCGGCAGGGACTCGACCGAGACCCACCATGGAACGGCCGACCTGAGGGCTGGGATTATTTTACCAGGGCCGGGAAACATTCACCATGGCCAAGGCTAAATCTATCGTAGTGAGTAGATCAAAACTGTTATCCGCATGACTGATTAATAATCGATAAAGGTCCGCTAATATTAAATATTTCTAATGTAATATACGGACACTTTACAATGGTTTAATTGAATGTCTTGTTGTGTGTAGACAAGTGCACCATATATATATACGTCACTAGGAACCGGGGGTTATAAACGACCTTCTATGTCAGTCTGTGCCAAATGAGTAATTCTAAATCAATCATTTGTCTATTTAATTCTTTCGGCGTACATATGAACGCAAATATACATGAGAACTTTGTATAGAAATATTAATGTGGGTTGTTCGCTTCATTTTATCGTTGATTAATATGGGATGAATATCAATGTACCAGTTCTGTACTGAACGCAAACAAATACACGTACACCAGTGCAGTATATATAACTAAGGTATTAACTAGTCATCATAATGTAACAAGGCGTTGTTACTTGTAACGCCCAATGGTATCTACTTCACTGTTCAATGTTTATATCTACATTCACAAGGCAGATTGCTGTCTTATTCTCTAATCATTTGAAACTACAGATGAACTGGTATTTATCGACCGTGTCATCAGTCAGTTGGAACAACCAATTTGACGGCGCGCTGTTTCTATAAACAAACTGATGACAAAATGAGAGGAAAGAGTATTTAACATTAATTAATTTAATCCGGGAAAGTTGTGGTTTAATAATAATGACGGCTTGTCATGGATTTCAATTTAACAAATTTACATCCTTACATGTAAATTCTATCCCAGGAAAAGCGTGCTCCGGGACAAAGTCTTTATAGTGTGATCAAGTGTAAACGGCTTTTCATTAAATTTAGCTTGTTCTTTCAACCTCGAGTACACCTATAGGAAAGGTTAGCCAAGTTTCCTCTGCCTCCTACACAAGACGTTATGATTTTAACGGAAATATACCCAACCCAAAATGTCTAACGGGTGGGTTTAGGAGTCGAAGGAAATCCGTACATTATCGTCTTAATGATTAAAAAACAACATTTCCACTAGTCGATACAGGAAGTGTATAATACGACTGCAACCGGAAGTGTTCCGAAAGGCTTGACCTAGTGAATTATATACTTTTTATCTAATCAATAATGTTTACTATCGCTGCTGAACGAACACAGCTTCCGGTCTAGAAACGAACGTTAGAAAATGTATGTTGTCAATACACAGGTGAATGACATGTGGCATTTGTCTCTTTATAAACAAAACGGTGAAGTACGAACAATCCATTTGTACATAATCTTTGAATTAGGGCGATTTACCCACCACTTGCTTACATTTCAAATTGTAGGTATCCTTATATTTTGATCGACTTTCTGAATAGAAATAAAATTCGAACCGACGTCCAGGCAATGGAGGCCATGATGGAAACTTGTCTGGATTCGACAGTTTAATTAGAAGTTCAGCAGTCATGCAAAACATTGGTTTTATGTAATAGGATACCATTTTACTCCTACAGACAGGTGCTGATTTATCTTTAACATTTTATAAATATTCTTATTTTGATTCATAAAAAAATATAAAAAAAAATTTTAAAAATTACATATATGTGAAGATATCCATTGGACTTACATGTACGTATATAGATATTCTACCTGATCCATCTACATGATATTTGTAACTTTTGTAACTCTTCATTATCTGGTTTTAACCCTATCATATTCTATCTTTGTAATAATGTCTGACCGTCTTTATCACGAGCACTCCACCTCTGGGTCGCGGGTTCGAGACCCACGTGGGGCAGTCCCAGGTACTGGTCACTACTCGGTGGTCCGTGAACTCCGGCTTTTCTCCACCTGACACGTTCTAAATGACACTGGCTATTTGTAAAACGTAAAGCAATAATGAATCTTTTATTTTTGTATTGAATGGTACCAATTTCAGTTTCATTTGATTCCGTATACAACAGCAAGTAGGATAGAAATCTACATACATCTGATAACGTAATTCATATGTACAAGATGGCGGAGAACATTACCCACTAGATGTCAAACTCCTGATATAGAATACAACCCACCACGCCGTAACATTAACACGCCATCATGAGACAATTAATATATACTAGTAACAAGCAACATCACAACACAGTGGATTGACAAAACACCAGATATAACGATATTCTCTGAAGTGATAACAATTGGCTAAGAATTGTACTGTATACTCATACAATATGTTCATATCTTTATCAAAGAAAATGAAAATCATTGTACAATTATGAACTCATTTAACGAACAAATTATATCTTAACGACAAAAGACGCATCGAGTAACTTATACACCATACAAGGACAGATAACTCAGGTATTTAGTAATAATTTTCTCTAGACCATAGTATGAACTAGATATGTATCAGACAGGGTATTTGTTTTGAATACAGAGGTCGACAATAAACGATCGGTTTGCTGCGGGTATAATACTCTTAATTCTTAATATGCACGACATAATGATAAAAATGAGTTTCGTCTCTAAAGTCATTTTGTCACACAGCGTGCAGGATCTTTGAGATATGAATGCCCCGATATCTTCCGGTCTCAACATATCCGTATTTAACCTTTACTTAGCAAGACTATTTTATTTCTAAAGTTAGTAGCTTATTGAGATAAGACTGAATAACTAACTTGTCTTATATATATTTATGTAATGTACATTTTGAAGAATGTTCAAAACCATTTCTTAATTATTGAACGAAAACATCCTATATTCGTTGTTTAGTAATTGATAAAAAAGATATTTTTCAGTGGGTACCTGCTGTACTAACCACACATCACCAAGGCCCAATGTATATCAATCGTGTTTCAAATGAAAATTCTGATTGTTTTACAATTGGGCTTCTTTGTGTTAAGCTTTACTTATCCATTATAACACGTGCGTGATTTGTACAATTTTGGAATGATGACTATAAAGTCTATAAATAGCGACACATTAGTTGGAAATGTGATAAGAGAAAAAATCCAGATATCTAACTTAAATGTCCAATATATAAACAAATGATTTGTATGTAGACATTTCATCTAAAATGTTAGGTACTTTCAATTTGTCCTCGATCATTTATATGTGGTGTGTATTATTTCCTACCGTGAGTGACACGAAACGTTGTAAATACTACCTGAACCATAGTTAAATGTTTACGAATTTACTCGTTTATATTAAGAAAATAAATAAACCCTTCATGTATCTGTCAGTGATTGCTCCACGATAGAATCTCACATCTGTGCGACAGAACCACACGACCTGCATGCTACGTGTTAGCTTATTTCGTCCACTTTTCCTATTGTGCGTTCATGTTGTGCACATCACACGTCTTGTCACGTTGTGTGATCCCAAAACTGTAAAGTTGTTTTATAACTTGGGGGAGAGATGGATGCATGACACTTCACAAAAACTGGTAGCAAATGATCATTAACTGGCGGTTATCCAATCAAGTTTAATGAAAGTCAAATGAAAATTATTTTATGGGAATGTCAATTTATCGAAGATTAATTCCTTTTTTAAGATAATAAACAGCCGTTATCGTCACCACATGTCTGTGTTTATAGTTCTATAACAAGACAATACTTCATCTTTCAGACTCAGTTGTAAGAATGCATGAATAATGTAACCCGTAAACACCAAGTATCTGTCTAAGGTGTTATACTAAAGAGGTGTTTCCTAAACAGATGAACACCTAATGAAACAACACCCGTAGTCTCCTGTACAGACTAGCTGTAGACCAAAGTTTAATCAGTCCAGACTACCTGTAGACCTATGTTTAATCAGACCAGGCTAGCTGTACACCTAAGTTTAGTCAGTCCAGACTAGCTGTAGATCTAAGTTTAATTAGTATAGACTAGCTGTAGACCTATGTTTAATCAGTCCAGGCTAGCTGTAGACCTAAGTTTAGTCAGTCTAGACTAGCTGTAGACCTATGTTTAATCAGTCCAGACTAGCTGTAGACATAAGTTTAATCAGTCCAGACTAGATGTAGACCTAAGTTTAATCAGTCCAGACTAGCTGTAGACTTATGTTTAATCAGTCTAGACTAGCTGTAGACATAAGTTTAATCAGTCTAGACTAGCTGTAGACCTAAGTTTAATCAGTCCAGAGTAGCTATAGAACTATGTTTAATCAGTCCAGACTAGCTGTAGACCTAAGTTTAGTCAGTCCAGAGTAGCTGTAGACCTATGTTTTATCAGTCAAGACTTGCTGTAGACATAAGTTTAATCAGTCTAGACTAGCTGTAGACCTAAGTTTAGTCAGTCCAGACTAGCTGTAGACCTATGTTTAATCAGTCCAGACTAACTGTAGACCTAAGTTTAATCAGTCCAGACTAGCTGTAGACCTATGTTTAATCAGTCTAGACTAGCTGTAGACCTAAGTTTAATCAGTCCAGACTAGCTGTAGACCTAAGTTTAATCAGTCCAGACTAGCTGTAGACTTATGTTTAATCAGTCCAGACTAACTGTAGACCTAAGTTTAATCAGTCCAGACTAGCTGTAGACCTATGTTTTATCAGTCAAGACTAGCTGTAGACATAAGTTTAATCAGTCTAGACTAGCTGTAGACCTATGTTTAATCAGTCCAGACTAGCTGTAGACCTAAGTTTAGTCAGTCCAGACTAGCTGTAGACCTATGTTTAATCAGTCTAGACTAGCTGTAGATCTAAGTTTAATCAGTCCAGAGTAGCTGTAGACCTATGTTTAATCAGTCCAGACTAGCTGTAGACCTAAGTTTAGTCAGTCCAGAGTAGCTGTAGACCTATGTTTTATCAGTCAAGACTAGCTGTAGACATAAGTTTAATCAGTCTAGACTAGCTGTAGACCTAAGTTTAATCAGTCCAGACTAGCTGTAGACCTATGTTTAATCAGTCCAGACTAGCTGTAGACCTAAGTTTAGTCAGTCCAGACTAGCTGTAGACCTAAGTTTAGTCAGTCCAGACTAGCTGTAGACCTAAGTTTAATCAGTCCAGACTAGCTGTAGACCTAAGTTTAATCAGTCCAGACTAGCTGTAGATGTTAGTTTAATCTGTCACGGATCAGATTTTGACAGTTATCGAACTAATCAACATGGGAGACATCTTCCTCTAAACAGAGTATCAGTACATGTATATTGATTTGGTTTTAAGCCGTGTTCAAATAATTCCGGAGTGACTTTTATACTCCTGTATTCTATAAACGATTTTCTATCAAGATTTAAAATTTATAATAAACATTGTATTTATGTGCATTTTACATGTTATGATTTGACGAAATGCCAAAATCGCTACCTATAAGGGCGTTTCATCTTTATACACTACCTGATGTATTATAAGTCAATAATGATTGGATCTGTTGATCGTTTTCCTTATCCGGCCTTGGTTTAAATAATTATAAAAATACTAAATCCATCCCCCGTACTTTCATCAGCATTATGATCTCTATACATGTCATAACAAATTAGAAGAATGTAACATTCCCTATACATGTTGTTGTCCAATGATAATATGTTTATAATCAGTGAACTTTCACTGTTTCCCAGTACTGACATCGAACTCGCGATTGTTGTCCTCTCTGGTACCTAAAATCACCCTCCTTTCAAGTTCGTTTATCTACCTGGCGGCTCCCCCTCCTCCCCCTCCCATTTCAGACTTTTCTTTGCTTAATCAAATAAAACCACCATTTGTTACTTTTGTAATCAATCAATGCCCTTGTCTTTCTTGTTCTCTCTGTATTATTTTCTAAGTGTCTACGAATCAAATAAAGCCACCATTTGTTACTTTTGTAATCAATCAATGCCCTTGTCTTTCTTGTTCTCTCTGTATTATTTTCTAAGTGTCTACGAATCAAATAAAGCCACACATTTCCAAGATTTCACGACACTTCCTCCCAGTAAACTACATTTTGTATATATGCTTAGAATTAAAGTATATACCATCTGTCTTTTCCTACGACACAAACAGCTCCACTTTTGACTAATTGATACTTTGGTCGGGTTGATATATTAGGATGTCGAACCTTGACGGTAACACTATATGTCTATCAACATGTAAATTCCTTTAATGTTGTGTGTAACCCCGTAACACGGGATTCGCACCTTTGGTCTCGACGCCTTTAAATGCCACTTTAAGTAGCTTTCACTTGAAAGCCGGTGAATAATTCATATGACAAATTGTTGTCCCTGATAATGAACAGATAAATATTTTAGGGTACAAGATAGAGTAAGTCTTGGTTCTTAACATTTATTGTATAGACTACCAAACTTTAGTATGCAAACGTTCAACAGTTCTGTAAATGTTGTACACAGAGTAATACAGATATCACCTAAAGCATTAAGATAAAGCCACGGAATAAAAGCTGACTAAAATGTATGTGACCCGTCTCCATTCACATGATCTCGGCAATTTATAAAGTTTAAAATTTATTCAGATAATTTATTCTGAACCACTTCCCGACAGGACCAAAATAAAAACATTTGGTTTGGCGTCCGACTTATAAAAAGATAACTACAAGATGAAAACTAGTCATATTTTCATTCAAAATAGAAAAATACCGACTATTAAAAATATATTTCTATTAATGTTATGCAGAAATGGGAACCACATCTCTTAGATGTTTAATTGATCTCGATGTAATTTTGATCGCGGTTGTTCGACAGACAGGTCATATAATAATTTGATCCTTATGAACACTGTTATATCATTCCTATGGACAAAAATAGTTAGGCTTCGCTGATACCCATGGAACCATTACGTTAAGATGGGGTACTGTCTAATCGTGCCTCAATAGAACATTCGTACGGACCTCCCCTGTTTATTTTGGATTCACAAACTTCTCCAAAGCACATATCAGCTAGGGTTCTTCTTGGCTCTATTGAACAAAATCTTTCTCAAAACTTTTTACTAGTATCCTCAGTAACACCAGATATCGATAAGGGTTATTGTCTAATTGTGATGCTATATTCTACTAAAGTTGTATGAATGTATTGTAGGCTTTGAGGAACTCCAAAGAACTTTCAATCACTGTTCAATATCCTTTCTAGTAAAATCAATCTTGGCTGTTGAGATATGTGATTCATCATTCATTGACCCTTCGCCTTTCGAAACATTCCAAATATCAAACCGAGAATTGATGTATTATTGAATTATTATCGTCCTATTGGGAGATGTTCAGGGTAGGTAATGTATATTGTTTGATACAGATGAAAAGTCTGACTTGTTTTACGTTAAACTTATTTAACTAAGACTTGATTTAACTGTACCATTCTTAAGACCTGTGGTTGGATGACACCCAGCAAATCTTAATGATTCCCTATGCTTATCTATTTACTTATTAGTTCTATTTACGTTTTATGTAGGTATTTGTAAATAATAACTGTTTTCTGTCACTTTTTCACTTTCGTTTTAGATTAAAATTTGTTCTTCTTAATCTCTGTAATAGAGTATACGGGGGATATTTTGTCTGTTTATTTCAATTTCGAACGAATAAATAAATAGTCTTCTACTTGTACAAGGTTTGTGAGTGTGTATAAATCGTTTGAAGTCCCACGTGTGTATATATATATATATATATGTAACTATAATATTACGTTATATTTTAAATGTAAGGAGGTTCACATTGAAACCCTAACGAGCGTATACTTAAGATTATTCTTCCGTACGACCGCTGACAGTCAGAAACACGGTGTCAGATTTATATTAAAACGCATGGGAAAATGTGTAATTTGGCATTCCTTATAAGGTTGTTTTTGTCTTCAACGAAACCACTGGAAACTAGCCACATTGGTTTCTGTTTCGCACAGGAACTCCACTAGTCAGGATAACCAAGCACAAAGCAATCGGTGATATCGACATCAGCGACAATGTGTTAATGCTTATTGGGCATAAAATCTACCGGTTAAGGAGAAATTTACTTTATTATTCAATTTCTAATATAATTATTGATTTTTCTGTAGAAATTGACTAGTTTCGTATCCTAATAGCAGATTGTTTACCAATGGTTCCATCGGTTCATCAATAATTCATAACGCTATAGAGTTCCTTCCTCATAAATAAAAAGGACATTCATTATGGAAATGACTTCAAATACCCGTAGCAATCATATGCACATTAATTGATGAAAGAAACATCTAATGCTGGCAGGGCCAGGTAACGCCAAGGGAGAGAACTCCTGACAGTTTAATGTTCACACACTAATCACGAGTCCTTATTCGCAAAATAAGGTAACGTTTGTTTCGAGAGGGAATCGTTTTAGTGAATAGTTACAGAACGAAAGTACATGTTTCAATACCAGTCGTCGACTGATGTTATACAGAAGTGTTTATAGACTCCTTTTGAAATGTAAATCTTTGTTATATGAACATGAAGAGGGAATGATGACCGAGATCAAGCATTAGTTTTATCAACGACTAGAAATGTGCTTACTTGGCGGTGTTGAGATCTTCCCTTGCTTCACGAACAGGTTTTTTTGTTAACAATTATGAACTAATTAAAATAACTCCTATTGCAAAAGAAACACATGGAATATTTTATAAGGTTCCTTTTGAAAATGTGCATATCTGCTAGCTTTAACCTTTTACTGACTACGTGGACTCTCCTGGGTGTATTGAACTGTCAGTACGACTTTATTTATGATATTCAAACACTGCACAGAAGTAATTCAAATGTCTACTTATTTAATTATGTATGTGGCCTGGGAATATTTAAGTTGTATAGGAACGTTATATAGTCTATCATCTTTTATGTACACTGAAGTATTGTCCATAACTATGATGTCAGCATTATCTGGTATATACATAACTTTAGACAACATCTTTACTAAATAAAACAAAATTATCTTTCTTCACAATTCAATGGTAGCAATCTCTATGAACCTATTTTCCAGGTCGATATTGAGGTTATTTTGACAGAGTAGTTGCCCTTGAATTTTAAAGATATCTGTGAAGTGGATCACGTGTCATTATTGTGACTTGGTTAGTGTCGTGCTATGAGCGGTACAGTTACGGCTTATATTCACCAGGGTTATAAACTCCCTTACTAGAAAATAACTCATACTCAAGTTTCCAGGGGTAACTGAAATGCTTATGGTCAGGTCTGAATATTATTGCCAAACCCCTACATGGCCCCTGATTAAAGAGAGGTCCTTATTTTACAATGTCTCTGCTAGGATTCGAAACCGGGACTTCTGTTTTATTAGTCTTACTATCATTCGACCCAACTAAAGATTTCGGTTAGTACTTACATGTACCACGGATACATTCTTGTAAAGGCTGTGTATTTTTCATTATCGATATTATCTTCGTTCATTAAAACATACTAATATTCTATGATCGGCAAATTCTCATACTCGAAATGAATGAAAATAAATAAATTTCTAAGATTTCATGAAAAACAAAATCTAAACAAACAAACGGACAACACATCCGGTTTTTACCTGAACTGTCTACAATCATTGTCTTGTATCTTGTGTTGCAGACCGAGCAGGGATCATCACCTGCTCCGGATGGACCTAATTTTATAGAGGGACGAGATGAAATCAGTGGAATTCCTCATCTGCATTTCTCTTTTATCGTCCATTCCTTCATTCCACGTCGCTTCTTGGAAGTTCAATTCGCTATAAAGACAGCAACTGTATTTGGCTGTTTCGGAGAGGGCATGCGACTTCCATCTATTGTCCATCGAAGAGATGACGGAATCTTTGTCAAAAAGAAGTTCTGTAAAGACCCGGATGTTTTGTTTTATCACACTAAGGATGTCGTGCTTGGATTACCTGGATCCATAGAACCTGATAACAGTAACTACGTGATTTCAACGGAAAGTGTCCATATAGGTTACTGTCGCCTTAAAGTACTGGACAATGGAAATAACATGGCACATTTAGACTTACAAGTAAATAAGAAGGGAGTGACCTACCTCAGTAGTGTCAAGTCAAAGAAGAAGTTTCAGGAGAAACTTAATATGAATAAAACAGCAATAGAATCAATGTTGGACTCTCTGATGAATCAAGGAGCAAACGGGTTCGATATGAAATTCAGTGACGTGTTCTCTGGTGTTCCGGAGAAATCTTTAAATCTCGGCAACCGGCCTCATACAACAATGGGACTGCGTGGGATGTTAGCGAGCTCGAGAAAGGATCTCGAGAGTAAGAAAAAAGCAGACCAAGAGAGTGGTCTAATTAACGAGGTCGAGTCAGATGAAGTCGGACACGAACTTGCATTTCCGTATGCGGCATGGCCACCCATGGCTGGAGAATTTCAAACGAGGAAACGTCCACACAATTGGCCTACAAAGAGAACGGTCGATAAAGTGTTAGCCATGGGTATCCATATAGTTCCCATGGCTAACGGAGCCTCCAACGCGGCCGATATTGAGTGGCGGATTTCATTCGTCGCGGCGGAAAAGAAACTCGTTTTAGAAGAAATAGACGATTCTCAGAGACAGTGTTATTTGCTATTGTATCTTCTTCTTCTACACACATTCTCAGAGGGGCTAATCTTACCATGTCATCTGAAAGCCGTCTTTCTCTATACCTGCGAAGAAATAGACCCCCGGATGTGGCACAGAAACCCTGCACATAGCTGCTTTCTTGTCTTCGATCGAATACTTGATGGCATTAGGCAGAAAAATATACCTTGTTATTTTCTAAGAAAGAATAATATGATTGACCACCTTTCTGATCTCCAGCTTTCGCAACTAGAGAGAAGACTAATGGACATCCGCAGGAATCCGGCCGACGAGTTATTATCATTGGCGGAAAGTTACACTCTTCTTGATGTGTTTCCGTGTAATATCGATCTGCAGCGTGTTTTCGCTCCAGTCATGGGCGACGCCAAGAAATACAATGACAAGGCCCAGGCGCCAGATGCAGTAGAAATTTTCATCAAGACAAGCAACACAGTAAGTAATGGATTCTACCACGAATTTGGATACGATCACTGTGCCTCTATTCTTGACGATGTAGTGGATTACCTGGTGGAGCCCGTACTTGGTCGAAAAGAAGCAGAGAAACAACGGGAGTATATTCCGCATCTCCTCAACCAGCGAAATATCGAATTCAGCAATGACATCGATCCCAGTGAGATCTGGAAGCCCATCACGTTCAGCCGATACCTGATCCGGAGGTACGTAGAGGGAAACACTGGATCTGGACTGTTTGAACATCTCGCCTGCTTGTATCACGCTGCTGCGAACATTTTTAAAGAAAACAGGGTTCCACTTCTTCGTGAAGCAGACGAAATGTTCCAACAAGCACTTCGCCGCGAGGGTGAAGGACATGGACCAGGTATGTTTGTCGAATACGCGCAGTTTCTGTGTTCTTCTGAACGGTACGAAGAAGCCGTACCTCATCTGATAAAAGTGGTATCGAGTGAAAGCGAGAATCCGACGTGTGCGAACTACTATGGACAGATGGAGATCTACGTCGTGGACGACTTTGTACGGAAGGAAATTGAAGTCAGGGGTTACGTCGAAGTTCTGTCTATCGTGTACGCCTACTACCTTCTCATTGACAGCTTTGTTCAGTTGAAGAAGCAGAAAGGCATGGCTGGTTTAGTCAGTGAATTCGAGCAACTGTGTGAGCGATTGAACGATTCCATGACGTTTTCTATGTTTGGGTATGCTATGAAGAAAGCTGGAGATAACAGTCGCGCGGGAAAGGCCTTTAAAAAGGCGGTCGATCTGGAACCGTCAAACAAACTTGCTAAAGTTCAAATATCAGGAAAACCAGCAGCAAGTGGAAGTGACGTCAATAAGACAACTGGAAACGGTGTTAGATTAGTTAAAGCAAATGGAAACGGTGGAAGCAAATCTGACAGCGGAAGCGAAAGTAGTTCGAAAAAGAGTTCTGCAAGTGAAAAGGGTAAATCTAAACCTGGCCTAGTGAGGAAAGGAAGTCGCAAAGGCAAACAATAATGACGTCATTTCCTGTCAACTCCGGAGTTCTTGTTCGAACTTGAAATCAAATTGAACTCGTCTCCTCTTTAAATTTTGTAAGAGTTAAATCAAACACCAATACTCACCTCTGACCCCTGACCCCTGACCCCACGTTTCCTCCTTTGAAATACAACTCATTGATCTTAGGAAAATGATGGGAATACCGTATTTCTGTCGTCAGAATGAAAGAGAGAATGTTGCATGTTGTCAAAAGTTTTTTTTCATTTGCATACAAAATCAAGAGAAGTATAATTAATGCCAAGATTGATTCTGTTTTGTCTTACGTCTATAACAAACATGATGAATAGAATCTCTTTAAGACTTAACAAATACTTCTCGGCGGTTATAATAGTGATAACGTTTACAGCGGTACATGTTACTGATACGATAGTCTAGGTTATTAAGTAATTGACGTCATATAGAATTCTGTAGGATTAATAGATTTCCCCTCCTTACTCCCCTTATGAACCTGGCCGTAGTTATTTCTATATACTGACAGTAATGATTGTTTCATTTCTTCGTAGATATTTCACAGCAAGAAAGATACAAATTGCCATATATTATGTATCTCTGGGCGCGACCTGCCGAGTAAATTGATGTTCTACTTTGCTAAACATTGAAAGAATGGGCTGTTGTAAATGTAAATCTATCTATACAAATTCAGTAAACATAACAGATAAAAACAAAACAATAGCAGAATCGCACAAACTGTGATGGTAATCTCGAAGCATTTCAATATGGTGCTGTGATTTTGCTGTCTAAAGCCAGGATATTGATGGCTGCTCATGACATAATATACTATATGACGTGGAATGATTTCAATCCAATGTGAAATTAGATATTCATTATCGAGAGTACTATATTGTCCTTTCTAAATGCAATATGTAGATAGTATTATCACATAACATTTCGTAAAATTGTCCTGGTCATTCTGATTTATTCTCTTCATCAGAATACAAGACTTCAGCATAGGTAGGTTTTTACAATGGTCAATAATTAATAATATATTCTTCAATGCAGTTAAAGAATTTACGCCATCCAACAGAGTCAATGCAACGCTTGTAAGAGGTTCTAAAATATCAGGCTATTGTAGCTTCGCTGGTGTCACATCAGTTAGTAATACATTATGATCAAAGCGTCAATAGACTTAATTCAATACCATAGATAAACGTAATATCACTTTTATGTTTAGATATACAAATTATTGTGTTATTCATAAATATGTGTTAATTGCAGCCATACTAATAATATGCGAGATGCTATTCTTACAGTTAAGTGCGAAGCTCATATCACCAAGATTGAAACGGACTCTTCCTAGATATCATTGATCGTTGATATGCTGGATTGATATCAAAAGCAGAAGCATATTTTTAAACAATAGAAGTACAAATGATAATCTTAAAACTGTTGTGTAATCAAGTCACCCCAACGAAGAATTGTTCCGTTTCTTACTTATCAATCTCCCACCGTTTTGGTCCACGGCTGATCTTGGAGACTAATTGGTGAGTTCTCCAGAAACTTTACAGACTTGACCAGTATAATGTCTAGTTGTGCACCCTGCCTTTTTCTCTGGTCTCGCTTCCAAACTGACCGCCTCGGCATGGGTAGTGGGATAGGTGTTGGGGTTGGGGTGACTTCTAGTTTCATATTACTTTTCTTAATAAGTCGTTAACGCCTACTAAATACGATAATTCTATAAAGATTCCGGCAAGGTAAAACTGAGTGACCATTATTAATACTGTTTCAACAAAGAAAGGAATATAATACATTAACTGTATTCTTTACATATTTGTACGTCCGGTTACATCCACGATGTAAGTGTTTTAAGCTTTCGTTGAGTTTGTGCGTGTGTTTTGAGTGAGCTGGATATAGTGTATGCTTTTTATTAATGTTTTCAATTAATTTATTTGAAATGTTCCGTCCACATTAAAATGGCAATATATCTAGAATGACAGTGTTGTCTTTGTTGTCTTTGTAACTATTTTCTCGGATCAAATGTATTCATTGCATTTCCCCTACAGGTATAATAGGGAGAGATAATGTCTAGTGTCACTTTCAAAAGGACGAACACATGATGAACGAGTGGTAAGGTGGCGTAGTGTTAACGCACTCGCCTTGAACCTAGACGTCCGGGGTTCGATTCCCGGACGTAAAAAGATATGAGGTTACCAGCCCGATTACGTGGGGTTTCCCCGTGTAATCCTGTTTCTTCCTCTCGTGCACTTCCATCCAGGCCAACAAGAGTGATTAATATAAGTTGGAAAATGTGTTCCGCAATTGTTGTGAAAATAAAGTTTGATCTATAATGAAGTTCGAAAACAGATGTTGAGTCGGCGGAAATCAAAGAAAATACTCAGTGATGATCAGATAATTCATGTCATATGAGGACGGACACGGGTAAGATTTACTGGTCATGTACGTTTCGCCCGTTCTCAAAACAACCTCTTCTTTGAAGTAGGATTAGACTATGTATACCGTCATCGCTTTATCAATGTAGATTTTAACTACTTATTTCCCGATGTGCATATTATGTTCACACGTACATATGTGCGGTATGTGTATATTATACATGTCCGCACGTACATATGTGCGGTATGTGTATATTATACATGTTCACACGTACATATGTGCGGTATGTGTATATTATACATGTTCACACGTACATGTGTGCGGTATGTGTATATTATACATGTCCGCACGTACATATGTGCGGTATGTGTATATTATACATGTTCACACGTACATGTGTGCGGTATGTGTATATTATATATGTCCACACGTACATGTGTGCGGTATGTGTATATTATATATGTCCACACTTGCATGTGTGCGGGATGAAACCATTACGTAAATGGTTAGGAGAGAAATGTAAATGTTTCACAAATGTAGATACAAACCGTACATACACTGAATATTTCATTGTTCAGGGGAAGTAACTCGTTGTTCAGATTAACCTAAAAATGCCCCAAAAATCTTCCGCTTGCTGTTTCTTACATTGTCTCTACTTTTATACAACTAAATCAAGATTTAAACAGAAAAGTAACATGTGAATCTTGTTAAATACAAGTAATAGTTGTATGTACCAGTATTAAAACCTTTCGCAATAAGTTAGAAGCAATCTATCTAGAAATCAGGTTTACATCTTAAGCAACATAAAGGTGTTAAAAATAACTACCAAATCGAATTGAATTCTAACACGAAGTCTGACATCTCGTTATACACCAGTTGTGTTCAATTAATGACTCTTGATTTTGATGTAGATAATATTTGTTGAAGAATAAGATACACTCGAAATACGTCTTCATATTTTATTTGTTCCTCGTTTTCCAAGTAGATTAGAAATTCATTATAACTAACCCGTCTGATTTCAGTAGCTGAGCAGTTTTCACGAAATGATTATTTAACTTTTGTCCGTCGTTCTAGCTTCTCAATACATCGCCTTCTAATTACATTATTTCCATAACTTTAAAAGATGACCCTGTTTTGTATCGATGGAAATCGTTTTATCTGTGGATTAAATGTGGATTTATCTATAGTTTGTATGGAAATTCGCTGAAAACCTTATACTTGTAGTCACGAATGTCCACAGCGGCAAGCAGCAGAGAGTGCATTTATTTACCAAAAACAAAGTCACGTGATCTTCGATTTAAGAGAAGAAACGCTGTTCCTCGAGGAGAAAAGAGGATTTGGATCTCTTCATGATGTGTTCCTGTCCTTTCTGGCGTCGAAAACGGCGTGCCCAATATGGGGGACTGTGAATAACGTGTTCAATATGGCTTCAAAAATGATATTGTCCTGAATGGCATATCAAACATGGCGTCGAGAATGGATGTGTTCAATATGATGTCGAGAATAACGTGTTTAAAAGGGTTTCGGGAATGGTATGTCCAATATGGCGTCGGAAATGGCGTGTCCAATATGGCGTCGGAAATGGCGTGTCCAATATGGCGTCGAAAATGGCGTGTCCAGTATCGATAATGACCGTGTCCAATATGGTGTTGAGAAGAGTGTGTCCAGTATGGTGTTGAGAATGGTGAAGTTTCCACCAATCTATTTACAGGTTACACAACAGAAAGCCTTGATATATGGGTTAGAACACATCGATCCTAAATTGACATTCTTTTGGTAATAAGTTGTGATTTCCTCGCACGGAACACTAAACACTCCTCTGTCTAGGCATTCGTCAAATTGAGGCACTTCTTCTTCCTCTGTCTGCTCGAAGTTTTCGACTACAACACACAACAGAAGTATAAATTGATCGCATGTATTAAATGTTTCAGAAACAATTCCATGTTATTCCAATTTAGACCCGATATATGGTGATTGAAATACCACTCAAAACACTGGCGATAAAGGCGATAACGGCGAGGGAAGTCTCGTCCCTAATTTTAGAACATGAAATGGCGAATTTCTTTGATATTGATGTAATAGACCGTATATTTCTGTAATTGCGCTGACAAACACATGTAGTAATAGTCGATCTAATAAGATACAGACAGGTCAATCAGCGGAATGAGGTTTTATCAACATGGATAAAGTATGGAGTATGCAATATATAATATTACGTTGTAATTATCATAATTCTATATGGCCTTGAATTTACAGTGAGCCCTCGATATAATGTCCGCAGGACCCTCTACGTAATACAAATCAGTGAGTTTACAGTGAGCCCTCTATATAATGTCCTCATTATCCTCTACGTAATACAAATCAGTGAGTTTACAGTGAGCCCTCTATACAATGTCCTCAGATCCTCTACATAACACAAATACAATGAGTTTAAACTGAGCACTCTATATAATGTCCTCAGGATCATGTACGTAATACAAATACACTGAGTTTACAGTGAACCCTCTATATAATTCCCTCAGGATCATGTACGTAATACAAATACTGAGTTTACAGTGAGCCCTCTATATAATGTCCGCAGGACCCCCAACGTATCACAAATCAGTGAGTTTACAGTGAGCCCTCTATAT